ACTGGTTCCTTGGTTTTCCTCCCCACCTACCTCTCCCTTTCTATTTTCAGCAACTGAACTGCAAATTTCACATTTTTAAAGATGAAAGGTCTTACAGCGAAGCTATACTGGGCCATGAGTGCAAGCCAATTAAAATAATCGATAAGGAGATTCTTAATGTTGAAGATACAAAATCACCATATTAGATGAAGCAAGCTGGAAAATAACCACAGAAAGAAGACGCCTACTGTCGCCCCACCTAACGCTAGAATCACTGGTAGCCTTCTCTTTCCCCCTTATCCTGAAATAGGAGAATAAAGTCAAATTGCAAATCTTTGCCATGTGACTGACCGGCTGTGTCTCTCACCTCTGCTCCTTGCAAGCTTCTATTTGTTTCCCAACCATTGTCCCTGCAGAAGAGGTCAACAGACCCCTAAACAAGATTCTTCATTGGATAGCATCCTAACTCCAGGGGCTCAGTGGAGTTGACACATCATGGCACGCCAACAATGGAAGGATTAAATTTAGACCCACACAGACCCACCCGTGCAAGTTAGTCCCGTGATGGGGACTCTTATATCTGGTCAATCAATCCTTCTCACCCTTGCAATTTTCCATGAAAAAGAGTTGGAGGGGAGGGGTGGCTGAAAAAAAAATCCCCAAGATGATGCATTATGGGTAGTCCTCCATCTACTCACCAAACCAATTGGTCAGCTGTCCCAGAACCAATTGCTGAAGTCGCTTCTGTCCTTTCCAAAAAAGACAACCTTTTCCAGCCCCTACCTTCTTTTATCTGGTGGCCTTCTCGTCCCTCCTGGCTGGGAACCCGAGCCAATTTCTTTCAATGTTACAAACAATTTCTTTCAATGTTACAAACCTTTATTGTCATTTTTTACTGGTGGCATAATGGCACACATTAAAAATGAAATTTAGTTGCTTGCTCTCAAAGTGTACACATATATAACACACATTTAAACATACTATACAAAATATGTATAGACCTACACCCTTACATATAAGTAACATATAAATATTATTCACTGTCCCATCTTGAATACATAACGGAAGGAGGAAACGTGAGAGTTTACAAGGTTGATGCTATATGTCAGTGATGGCGAACCTTTTAGAGACCGAGTGCCCAAACTGCAACCCAAAACCCACTTATGCATCATCGGGTGCCGGGTAGGTGTGGCCCATTGGCTGGGTGTGGCCAATTGGGTGGGTGTGGCCCATTGGGTGGGCATGGCTGCGGTGGTAACAGCAGACTGGGTTGGACTAAAAAGTTCAATCAATCAATTCCAACTTTGCAAGATCTTTTTTTCCCACGAGAAGTTGAAATTGACTGATTGATTGAACCTTTTTTTTTTTTTTTGCACACGACAGCGGAAGCCTAAGCAAAAAGGTTTTATAAAACCCAGCTGAAGGCCTAGGACTGGGGTGATGGCGCGCGTGCCCACAGAGGGGGCTCTGAGTGCCGCATCTGGCACCCATGCCATAGGTTCGCCACCACTGCTATATTTTAATACTGTATGGGATAAAACTGTGACTGAATCTGGATGTTCTGCTTCGGATACCACGGAGCCTCCTCCCAGAAGGTAACAAGGAAAACAGGTTGTGAAGAGGATGTGTAGTGTCCCAGATGATCTTACGGACCCTGCTCAAACAACGCTTCTGTGCTATGTCCTGGATGGAAGGGAGGGAACTGCCAATAATCTTTTCTGCCGTCCTCACCACTCTCTGCACCACCTTCCTGTCTGAAGCTGGGATGCTTCCAAACCAGACTGTGATGCCATAGTCAGGATGCTCTCGATCGTCCCTCTGTAGAAAGTGGTCAGGACAGGGGAAGGAAGATGTACTTTCCACATGCGACGCAGAAAATGCAGGCACTGCTGTGCCTGCTTCATCAGTGTCTCGCTGTTGAGCGACGAAACCAGCCTACTTATTAGCTGCACACTCAGGAATTTGATGCTGCTAACCACCTCCACAGGTGAATCGTTGATACACAATGATTCTTTTCTTGAAAGAAAAACAAGAAAGTTCAGTTGCCCTGTGAAAGAGCATCTTTGGGACAACCATGACGTGGATGATGGAGAATCTCCATAGACGTCTCTTTTGGGGAGACGTTTGGCTATAAGGGTGGTCTTATTCTCTGCCCATTATTAAATTGGTGAGATCATTGCTGAAAGAGCAAAAAAGCAGAAAAGCATCAAGTTTCAGTATACAGGTGGTCCTCAACTTATAACCATTTGTTTAGTGTCCATTCAAAATTACGTCCTTGTCATCAGCCATTCAGCCGTGTCTGACCCTCAACCACTCTATGGATCAGCACTGTTCATGCACCTCCATCTTGCACAGCCTTCTTCCGATCCGCCATCCTGTCATGCAGGGATTCAGGTGTGGCTTGATGCAAACAAAAAGACAGAATCCAAGGTATCTCTCTTAAAAACACAACGTTTATTCAGCTGAACAAAGGTGGATTGTCAGGACCCATTCCTATTTCATTTCTACCTATCCCCTCTGACCTAAAAACAAATCTCACCTTCCCCTGGGTTCTGCCGTACTCCCAAGGGGGAGGGGGATGTGCATGCGGGGTTATTGTTTTCCCTTCCTCTATTCGCTACAATGTAACCTTTTGCTTCCTTTATTGCCTCTGTGTCCGCTGCCCACTACAATGTAACAATTTGCTTCCTGCACTGTATCTCTCCCTGAACTTTCTTCTCCACAACCTTCATCTAAAAAAGCGGGGGAGAAAGAAATACAACCTCGGGAGCCTGGCTTATCTCTCCGTTCTCAAAAGGAGGTGGGAAGAGCTGCTTGAACATCGCGCTACGATCGGAGTCGGACCGATGTTATCTCCCCTTTCCCACAATGGACCTAGAACTCTTACAACCCTGGGGATTGGTTGGTTTGAACCATCCGGATGAACTGTGAGGTGGGGTTTGCTTGGGGACACTTTAAAGTATCGCTCTGTAAAGGAATTCCCTCAGATCCTGTCTATTATGCCTGCTATCAACTACTCTTAATAAAAGTTCCTGTTGTAGGAAACCGTCTCCAGGAATTCTGCTTTCTTAAGATGTGTGATTGAAGTGGGTTCTTACATGGATCCTCCCACAGAGGTCTTCTAGTCCAACCCCCTGCTCAATAGGAGACCCTATACCAGGGGTGGGGAACCTTAGCTCTTTTATGACTTGTGGACTTCAACTCCCAGAATTCTGGGAGTTGAAGTCCACAAGTCATAAAAGAGCCAAGGTTCCCCACCCCTGCCCTATACCATTCTGGACAATGGCTGTCTAATCTCTTCTTCAAAACCTCCAGCAATGGAGCTCCCTCAACTCGAGACGCAAGCTGTTCCATTAGTTAATTGTTCACACTCTCAGGAAATTTCTCCTTAGTTCCAGGTTGGATCTACCTGTGAGGAATTTCCACCCATTGTTTCTTCTCCTGCCCTCAGGGGCTTTGGAGAATAGGCTTAGGAAAGATTCCTATAATTTTATTAAACTTATCAGAGTACAAAATACAACGTCAATGAAAATCATGGGAAAAGGGGAAAGAGAGAAGTGAAGGACCAAGGAGAAAAAAAAAAGACGAAAAACATTAACTTCAGACTCTTTTTCAGAACAGTAGAATGAACATAATGATGCCACAGCCGCAACATTTTACTTTACATGCCAGTTCTCTAACAAAAAAAAGCAAACATACATGCAATAAACCACCCAAACAGTTTCATTTTTGTCTATTTCAAGCACAAAGTCCAGAAGCGGTTTCCAGAGTGAAACAACATTAGACATATTCCACAATCCCAGGAAGCAAAAGCTGTTCCATTAATTGTTCTCACTATCAGGAAATTTCTCCTTACTTCTAGGTTGGATCTGTCTTCAACAAGCTTCCACTTCTTGTCCTGCCCTCTGGTGCCCTAGAGAATAAGCCCATCCCCTGTTCTCTGGGACAGCCCCTCAAGTTACTGGAAGACGGCTATCATGTCTCCCCTAATTCTTCTCTTCATCTTGGGGGCATATTGAATTTCATGAAAAATATTGAAGGGGAAATGGAATGTGCCAGCTTACCTGCCGTCTCTAAAGGGGGAGGAAGGACCAGACCTGGATTCTTTCCTTCCAAGAACAGAAGATGGCTTCAGGTTGTGGGAAGGCACCCAGATGAAGGTCAGAAAGGACTTCTAAACAATCTGGCCAAGACAAAGACACCAATGGTGCAGAGCAGGGACAGGCTTCTCTCCCAGGTGTGAGGAGCTGAGGTTGGCCAACTGGGATGCTTTAACTAGTTTTGACAGAGGTGGGGTAAGACTACACAGTCTTGGGGGCTCCTTCCAATTCTTCAGTCGGCCAAGGGTATAAATGAGCCCTGCAGAGTGTAGAAAGTCAGCACGTTCCCCCACCCCAAGAGAATGAAATATCTTGGGGAATATTAAAAGAGGCAGGACCGAATATTTCCCTTAAAGGAGAAATGGAGAAAAAAAAAAAAACAAAGGCAGAAAGCAGCCCCAGTCTCCCTGCCATAAAAAAAACAGCTTCAAACTTAGAAACCTGAGGAGGCCAATCTTTAGAAAGGGAAATTTGGTAATCCATTCAGAAAGACAGGGGCACACTAAGCAAAACGCCTTCAGCCCCCACAGTTGATGGGATTAAGAATTTACATTCCCCCACCCAGCTCCAAGGACAGGACAGGACAGGACCTCCCAGCCAGGACGGGAGTCAGGCAACAATAATTAGAATACCAAAAGGGCACAGGTCAAAGTACGTTGCACAGGAATAGGCATCTGAAATACAAAGGCCAAAGAAGGTATAAAAACCCATCCACTCTCAAGTCCATTTTGTCAGCTGTCCAAGAACTGCATGCTGTTGTTGGTCCTGCTCATCAATAAGCAGAAACCTTCTTTCCTAAGCAGTCTCCATTTTATTTCCAGCGTCTTATTCCCAGCTTGGAACTGGACCTGATGTTTCTTTCAACAAGAGGTTCAGAAAGAGAAGACTGGGGCATTCCCCGGCTTGGGGCTCTCACCGGCTTCACCCCCAGTACCAGGACCTGGAGGCAGCCAGCTCCTCCTCCTTCACCAAAGGGGAAGAAGCCGCCTTAGGACTCCGGACGGCAAACATGTTCTCCGTGTCCAGCAGAAACATGCTGTAGAGGTTGAAGAGCAACATGGCGACCAGGGGGAAGAAGGTCAAGCCGAATCCAAAGCCTCGGAACGAGCGGCCCATGGCGTATGCCAGCCAGTAGAGAAGCCTGGAAGGGCGAGAAAGAAAAAAAATGGTACAGAGCAGGACTGGGTCAAAAAAAGTCAAAATGGCAGCCACCGTGGCGGGATCCAAGCATCACATCCATTGTGTCCTTGTGGGCATCCATCGAAATCCCAAGCCAGCCTTTGCATTTCACAATAACTATTCCAGTTAATAGATAACAGGATAAGAGAATTGGGACCTTGGAGGTCTTCTAGTCCAACCCTCTACTCAATCAAGTAGGAGACTCTCTACCACACAAATGGCTATACGGTCTCTTCTTAAAAGCCTCCAGGGATGGGGCACCCACAACGTCTTGTGTTTATGTTTGTTCTTTGAGTTGTGATTTTGTTAATTTATGTTATGTTTTTGCAGGATTTCCCCACTTTATAAAACAAGTTTTATTAGTTTTTTCATTTTACAAACAAGTGCTTGAGAATCAACGTGGTGGCAGGGCAATCAATTGTCCACAAAGAAAGTCATACTCATAAAGTTCAGATTAAATCATTAACAACCCTCTCTCTTTTCCCTCTAAATAACATATTATATTCAAGTTAATATATTTCAATACAACTAAGTCAATCAAAACAATTATCAATAACCTTTCTTCTAAATAAATCCAAATCCTATATTAAGCTTTACTATTTCAGTTGCTATATTCCATATTTCTAATCTAATTACATAATTAGCACTTAGGGTGTCTCTCCATGACCTTTTTCCTTAACATATTCAATAAACATTTATTAGTATCATTTCTTCTTTTTTCTTATTCTTCTTCCATTACAGAATAGCTATCATTTCTAAAAAAAAAATATTAGTTCAAAAAAGAAAAGAGAAAAAAAGGAACAAAAAACAAAAGAAAAACAAAGACAAAACAAAAAAGAGAAAAAAGAAAAATACCTTTCTATTTCTATTATACTTTATAATCTATCAATCAGTCCCTCAATATCTGTGTCAAATTCCTTTAACCTCCTCCCAAAATTACTATATCCACAACAAACATATTAATACATAGACGAACATCTTGTTATTAAATTCAGACCTTTAATTAATTTTTATTCAATCCAACATCTTATTTAACTGTCTTAAGCCATAAAAGGATTTCCCCACTTTAGAGGGCAAGACTGCTGAGCCCTGCAACAACCACCCTGTGAGGTAGGCTGGGTTGGATTCTCACAGCGCACAAGACGAGGCATTTGTCAGTTTGGGGAAATCCAGCCCTTGTCTTAGCAAGCGGTGGCAAGTCCTTTGGAAGCAGAGTAGGGATGATGTTATGCGAACCTAACCACTAGGCTTTGCTGTACTTCCATAGCCATGGTGTGTGTGTGTGTGTGTGTGTGTGTAGGTCTTGAACTGGTCCCAGTCCAACCTTTAATAACTAGCAATGGTGTGTGTGGTGGGGGGGAAGCAGCCTCTCTGTATTCCAGCCTCCCGCAAAATCACAAAGACACAGTGAATTTTTAACACATCAAAACTGTTAATTGATGGTGATAGTTCACAAAGATCGTTAGGTGCAAATAGAAATACACACTATTTCCCTAGCAAGGAAGATAAAGCAGGAATGGTTAAACTGATCATTTTATTCAAAGAGGAGAATGTATTGAAGTACTTTTTTCACTTGGATATCATTTCTAGATTTTGTGCTGGTGTTGGAAAAAAAATGAAATGTTGACTGTGGTTTTGTCGATTAGATAGATTTGTCATTATAGAAATGGCTAGTTATATACTAATGTGTAAAAACAAAAAGTTGAGGCTGGAGTGTTTTTATCTTGTGCTGTGCTAAAAAGAGTCGGAAGTCAACCAACGCCTTTTCTTTTCCCCCTCTCTTTTTCCTTCCCCTAATTTCTTATTTCTGTTTTTGTTTGTATTTTATATATTAAATAAATATAAAAACATAAAACATGAAAGAAAAAAAACCTGTTAATTGATAATATGCCTGTGATCTACTGTCTCCCTTTGGACTAGGGGTTCGACTAGAAGACCTCCAAGGTCCCTCCCAACTCTATTCTATTCCGTTCTGTTCCATTCTGTATTCTATTCTATTCTATTCTATTCTATTCTATTCTATTCTATTCTATTCTATTCTATTCTATATTTTTATTCTATTCTATTCTATTCTATTCTATTCTATATTTTTATTCTACATTTCTATTCTATTCTATTCTATTCTATTCTATATTTCTATTCTATTCTATATTTCTATTCTACATTTCTATTCTATTCTATTCTATTCTATTTTACTCTATTCTATTCTACATTTCTATTCTATTCTATTCTATATTTTTATTCTACATTTCTATTCTATTCTATTCTATTCTATATTTCTATTCTATTCTATATTTCTATTCTATTCTATATTTCTATTCTACATTTCTATTCTATTCTATTCTATTCTATATGTCTATTCTACATTTCTATTCTATTCTATTCTATTTTATTCTATTCTATATGTCTATTCTACATTTCTATTCTATTCTATTCTATATTTTTATTCTACATTTCTATTCTATTCTATTCTATTCTATTCTATTCTATATTTCTATTCTATTCTATATTTCTATTCTATTCTATTCTATTCTATTCTACATTTCTATTCTATTCTATTCTATTCTATATGTCTATTCTACATTTCTATTCTATTCTATTCTATTCTATTCTATTCTATTCTATTCTATTCTATTCTGAACAGCTCAAGCTGGCTGGGGAATTCTGGGAGTTGAAATCCACCCCTCTTCAAGGACCTTGGAGGTCTTCTAGTCCAACCCCCTGCTGAAGCAGGAGACCCTCTACCAGACAAGTGGATCCAACCCAGAGGAAGGGTCCAGAAGTGGGAGGACTCTTTCTCTCTTACCGTGAGATGGCAAAAAGGGCCGTCAGCAGCGGGATGAGCTTGAGCCATTCCTGGGGCAGGTAGGTGGAAAGGACGCTAATGTTGAAGAAGTAGAGGATGAAGAGGTCGACCGACTGGGAGACGAAGTGCCGGTGGATCTGCACCTCCCGGCCCAGCTCCTCAGGAGGCTGCAGGGAGGAGGCACAAAGGAGGGACACCCCGTAAACCATCATCCCTGCAGGGGAAGAGAGACAGGAGAAAGAGGTCAGGGAAGAGGTCAAGGAGGACTTGCTGAATCAAGGTAACTTGGAGGTCATCTAATCCAACCCCTTGCTCAAGCAGGAGACCCTATATACATTTTATAAATAAATAAATAAAGGGAGGGAGGGGCCGGGAGAAGCCAAATGTTGGACTTGTTGGTCTGAAGGATTTCCCAAAGTTCTACAATTCAAGCATTACGGATAGCTCTCGCCATACGACCGTAATGGAGCCTGTTGTATGTTATAATCGTCATAAAACAGGTTGGTCATATTTTTTTTGCAGCGGTCGCAAAGCAAACCGCCAGAGTTAAGCAAACACTGTGGTCGTTAAGGGAGCCAATGGTTCGCTATGGGCCCAGTTTTGCCGAAAACAGGCTGGTTTTCATCAAAAATAGTAAAACACTGTCACATGATGGCAGGACACAGCCAACGGCCATAAATGGTGTCAAATTATTGAATGCCTGAAGTTTGGTTATGGGACATAGTGGGGATGGGGGGGCAACCTTTTTTTGCTGCAGTTGTTTAGACCAGGGGTAGGCAACCTTGGCTCTTTTATGACTGGTGGACTTTAACTCCCAGAATTCCTGAGCCAGCATAGCTCAGCTTGGAAACCTCTCCCTTTCCCCTCAGCATGGCTGGCTCAGGAATTCTGGGAGTTGAAGTCCACCAGTCATGAAAGAGCCAAGTTTGAAGACCCCTGGTATAGGGCAGGGGTAGGCAACCTTGGCCCTTTTATGACTCGTGGACTTCAACTCCCAGAATTCCTGAGCCAGCATGGGGGAACTATGGCCCCCTCATGACTCGTGGACTTCAACTCCCAGAATCCCTGAGCCAGCATGGCTCAGCTTGGAAACCTCTCCCTTTCCCCTCAGCATGGCTGGCTCAGGAATTCTGGGAGTTGAAGTCCACCAGTCATAAAAGAGCCAAGGTTGCCTACCCCTGGTTTAGACAATTGCTATGGTCATTAATGGAGTCACACGGTTGTTAAGCAAATCTGCCTTCCCCTATTGACTCTGCTGATCGGAAGCCAGCTGGAAAAGTCGCAAATAGCGATCACCTGACCCTGGGACATTGCAACCATCAAAAATCGGTGGGGTGGAGGTTATCAGATTTTACATTTGGGGCTTTATTTCGCCCGGATTTACTGATATGGGCAGCCATATGAATTTTCTAAATAAAATCAAAATAAAGGGGAATATCTGGAAAAGAGCACAAGTGGCTTACAGAATTTAGCTGGCTTTCCTGCTTGCAGGGGTGGTCAAAGAGGGCAAGATGGCCAGCATTGCGATGCATTCAACAATGCAATAAAAGGTGGAGGTGGTTTTTTTTGCTTTTTGGGGGGGACTGCATGTGCAGATTTCCTGGCCTGTGGAGAGAGCTTCAATGGAGCCTCTCAGCAGCCCAGGGGAATGAGCGATGGGTCTCCAGGCTGGCAGTGAACGATGGCTTCCACCTCCCTGGCACCTTCTCCTCCACGGCCAGCAGATCCCGCTCACCTAAAATGATGGGGAAGGTGGCAAAAGCCCCGCAGCGCAGCGTGTATACCAGCCGGGCGCTCGTGTCATCCATGGGGGGCACGTCGAAGGGCAGGAAGACGTAGGCGCTGTAGATCAAGCATGGGAAGACAATAATGGAGCTACTCATGGAGCCCACGGCTTTGAGGTTGGCCGAGCTGCAGCAGCCCTTCGACCGGCAACACGGGGTCTGGGGTGGCTCCCCGGCAGGACCGGGCGGTTCGTGCGAATAGGCCGAGTAGCCTCCGACGAGGAAGGTCTGCTGCTCAGGGTTGCCCTTCTCCTCCTGGCACTCTGCCCTGTCCTGTGGCGGCACTCCCAGTCGCCACGGCTGCTTCTTACGGCTCCTGGGACGGCGTTCGATGCAGAAGGGGTCGATGGGGACGAAGGCGTGGGCCGCCATGGCGGGCATCCCACTGCCCTCGTCATCCTCAAGAGGCCTCAGGAAAGCCTGGTGGTCCATGGCGGAGTCCAAAATGGCTGCCTTCATGCTCCCCTCGGGGCTCGGCCGGGCGTCCTTCTCCAAAACCTCGGGCATCTCTCCGGCTACATCGTGTTGGGCTTTGTCCCAGGGCAAAGTGGCCTCGGTGTTGTCCGAACTCGGCTCCTGGCTGTGACTTTGGGCCATCTGCCCAGGGGACGAGTCCTTCCCCAGGGGCACCATCGCCACGGCTTCCGAAGGAGCAAGGGCCGACATCTTTGACTGTTTTAGAGAAGTCTGTTCCGTATCTGTCGAGCTTTCTTCCTGCTAAATCTTTGCAGTCTCCATTCCTTCTTCCCCAGAACCGGATAGGGGAAAATCTTGGGATGTGTGCTGCACTCGGTTCTCGTGCTGCAAAAGGGATGGAAACATATTAATGAACTGGTTTGGAGACAGCCAAGGAATACAGAGCCTTGGGTGGCTCGAGGCCTCACCACGGAACAAAAATTTGCAAAAAGCAGCACCAAGGAAATCTTTTGTTTTGCTGGTTGTCTGGGGGGGGGGGAGAGAGAATTATAAAAAGATCAACACAGGAACTATCGTTCCATATTAAAGCTTGAAAGGGGAATTATCCATTTTAAGGATTTTAAAACCGTTTTGAAACAAAGATCTTGAGACTCTGGAAAGAGTGCAGAGGAGAGCAACAAAGATGATTAGGGGCCTGGAGGATAAAACATAAGAAAAACGGTTGCAGGATTTGGGTTTGGCTAGTCTAGTGAAAATAAGGACCAGAGGTGACATGATAGCATTTTCCAATATTTGAGGGGATGCCACAAAGAGGAGGGGGGGTTTCAACCTATCTTCCAAAGCACCAAAAGGCAGGACAAGAAGCAACAGATGGAAACTAATCAAGGAGAGAAGCAGCCTTGAACTAAGGTGAGAATAATTAGTCAGTGGAACCACTTGCCTCCAGAAATTGTGGGCGCTTCATCACTGGAGGATTTTAAGAAGAGACTGGACAGCCACATGTCTGGAATGGTCTAGAGTCTCCTGCTTCAGCAGGGCGTTGGACTAGAAGACCTCCAAGGTCGCTTCCAACCCTATGACTCTATGAGACAGATAAGAAGATAGAATGATAGATTGATATAGATGACAGATAGATGATAAATGATAGAGATAGATGATAGACTGATTGATAGAGATGATAGAAATAGATGATAGATTAGATTAGGTAGATAGATATAGAAGATGATAAATATAGATGATAGATGTAGATGGTAGGTAGGTTGATTGATTGACTGACTGACTGACTAACTGACTGACTAATTGATTGATTGATTGATTGATTGATTGATTGATTGATTCCTGGAGTTATGAGTGTTCCAACTCTGGAAGTTTCCTGGATAGCCATTTGTCTAGAATAGTAGAGGGTCTCCTGTTTGAACTAGAAGACCTCCAAGGTCTCTTCCAGCTCTATGATTCTGATTCTAAACCTCTTCCGAATCCAAGATCAGATCGGGCAGGGCTAAGCAGCCCGGGCATTTTCAATCAAGGCTTGCTATTTAACAAATATGAAATCAGAATCTAGTTCAAGCAGAAAATGATGGTCCTGGATTGCTGCAAAACTGGTATATTTAAAACTGCGGTATATTTAAATTTATTATTGTTTTCATTATTATTATTATTAATTAGGGTACCACAAAGCACAATTTTCAGTGAATGGGTTTGAACCACACCGAAAGCCAGAATCGAAGTACGTAACGGTGTTGTGCACCAAAATGTAGTAATATAAAGACGGTGACATTTGTGTACGGACGTCATCGCACAACGCTGCCATTCGGCGAACCTTAAACCTAAGAGACCAAATCTCACCAAACTACGAGTAGTCCTCAATTTACAACCACAATCAGGACCAGGAGTTTCGTTGCTAAGCAATCTGGTTGTTAAGTGAATCATGCCTGATTTTGTAACCTTTTCCCGCACGGTTGTTAAATGAATCACTGCAGTTGTTAAGTGAACTATGTGGTCATTAAGTGAATCTGGCTTTACATTCTTGGAAGCCAGTTAGAGGGTTGCAAACAGTGACAGCAGAGCCCAAAACTGTTACGTGCTGAATATATGCCGATTGACAAGCACCTGAATTTTGATCACATGACTCTGGGGATGCTACAACAGTCATGTGTGTGAAAACGGGTCATAAGTTATTTTTTTCCATGCCATTGTAAATTTGAATAGTCACTAAACAAATGGTTGTTAAGTTGAGAAGTACCTGTAAAGCTATAAACTTCTAGATGC